ATTGCAGTTAGTTCAGCTGGGTATATAAAGTTTTTGGTTTGTAACATGTAATATTTATGATCAGTTTCCAACCTGTAAAAATAAAACATAAACACACAATGCACAATCTCCTTATACCCTGAGCTATTAGTATAAATAGCAGTTTCACCAAGTTGGGAAAGATATCATCATATTATCAGATATTCCCTTATCTATTTCATAATCTTCAAATTGAATGCTATAGTAACCATTGGGAATCAAGAATTTCTTGCAGAAATATTCAAATTACAATGAGACAGTTGAAACACTGACTAGTATGCAAAGAGACAGTACGGAAAGCTATAGTGATGCAAGTATCCAATTTCTCTCCAGTGTGTCCAAGTTTTATCAGTTCTTTATCTTTTATCCCCATGCTTCAGTTCCATGCATGGTTTTAAGAATGATGGCATTCTTGAAGATAATTCTGAGGGTGGCACTTTTGTTGTCTAGTACAGGGGTGTGCAAATACTTTTAATCATGTGGGCAGGGCTGTGATGAATTTTTGTACTGCCTCTATTATTTGGGATGTGATGGGGGGGAGAAAAACACACCACCTGGTAGAAATTTTTTAAAAAATTATAAATGCCTTAAGAATAAGATCTGCTGCTATTGCTCATCTAATGATTGACATGTATACTGTTTCATTTTCAAATAACAGTTTAAAGGTGAAATGTTTTAGGCTCCTTTTTCTGATAAGTCTTTTTATCGCAACAGCATTCTTTTCATTAATTTCTAAATTAAAGCTACTAGAAATGACTGGACTATATTCTTAGGCAGATGTGCATGCTTTCCTAGCATTTCTAGTGTTCTCGATTTAAACTGATCACTAGTATAGCTATACAGATATATACTGTACCACTAGATGCACACTTATGCTGCTGATTTTGATAATTTATGTACAAAATCAGGTGGGAAAGAGATGAAATAATTGCTGCACAGAATTTTCTAATGGGCCATTGTAAGCAATTGAAGGGACTGCATTTGACCTGTGGACTGGCTTGCCCACCTCTGGTCTAGCATATATCCAATAAAAGTTCCTTATGTTACTTAAAGATTCCATATGTTCTTATGTATGTATGCATTTCTAATATTCTATGAAACTCAGTGTCTGATCTAGAATTACTCATAATTATTTTAGTTAACAGATTTTATTTTATGATAATCAAATTTCAAATTGGGTGGCCGGATCTACATGCCAACATGAGAAAGAAACAAGGCAAAAGTTTTCTCAGTTTAAATCTAATTTCTTTACCAATTATTCATTACAATTTAATCGTATTGAAAGTGTGTTCATTTTTTCCTAAAGACCCATCATAAATTAATAGCAATATGTGGTTAACATAACAAGTGATTTTCGTATTTGGTATATTAGTTTTATTAATTTACGATAAGGTTCTTAAACAGAGAGGCACTACAAAAATCTTGTGGACATCATTTTTTAAATTTAATTTTATAAATTCCTCCACCCATTTCAGATAGATAAATAAGTGTTATTTCATTAAAATAATCCATGATGTGTTATAAGGTTTCAGATAACTGTACGTTTAATAAAGCAGAGAGCAAGAATGAGAGAATCAGACACACCCCTGATCTCGAATGACACCACCAACCATATGATTGATTGTTTCTTGTCTCTACTCTACATCTTTGTTTCACAAAGCCAGATTGATTTTTTGAAGTAAATACTTCTTAAAACATGATTTAGTTTATTTGTGTTTAATGTGCGTAGGATTTTTGCTAAGAATTTCAGCAAACAAATAGGTTTTCAAGAACCATTATTTGTAGAAATCAGTATCAGTTGACTTCATTTCTGAGTTTTTAGAAAAGACACTGAGTTGTAAACATTTATTGCACAGAATCGGGGGGGGGGGGAAAAACCACTATTCCATGTATAAAATTTTAATAAAAGTGGCCCCAATGCCATCAAACCAGGGGCACTTTTAATTCTTAAACTTTCTTTTAATTCTAGTTTTGTTAATGTTTTTTTTACTCTCTATTCTGTTCAAAAAAGATTTCATAAGTATCACTTTTTTCCTCCTTCACTCTTCCTTCTAAGATTTAATTCATTTCAGTGTATAATTAATTATGTGTATGATAAAAAGTCATTTCCAGTTATTCTTGTAATCAAACTAGGATTTTCTTTTTGCTTCGTGCTATCTTGAAAATTCATATTTTGCACTTTTCAGGAACACTTTTAACTTTTTATGCTTCATTAATCTTCCTGATATTTCCCTTTTTATTATTATTATTATCCCAAAGAAGCATTAGCCCAGAAGGGCTGTTAGTCTTGAAATGGCATTTTGCATTGAATCACTATAAATGACTGTATCACTTTTCAAATTGTTGCCACCAAATATTATCCCCCTATACTATATTTAAAGAAATTAAATAATGCAGAATCTACATGAATGTATGTATGGTTCTTGTATTGGGAGAAAACAACCGTACCTAGAGCCATCTAATTTTGAATAACGCAGTCGTCCACCCAAATATGGACACCTGGAAACCCTAATCTTTAATTTCAAATTTGTTTTATTATCTGTTTTGTGTTTTTTAAATTTTAACTGACTTTTTTATCAAAAAACTTAGTGTTTTCAAAGTGAGCAGTGACAACGCATTGTACGGAATAAAATATTTTTATCTCCAGTGTATGAGACTGACTATCAGAAATTGTAAAAATGTGTTGTTTTTAAATATTTTTAGCCCAAAGGCTCTCAAAAGATTTATGTATGTATAAATGAAAAAAAAAAAAACACTCCTTTGGTCGTAATATAAAATCTGAAAGCTGTCGGATTTTCTCAACATTATTTCAATTTTAATGTGTTCATTCCTACCTTAGATCTATATTTTTTCTTCAGCATTTTCTAGCTCATCTACCTCCTTATTTAACTCATCTCCTTTCATCTTTTTAAGCTTTCAGTGATATTTCTTTTTACAGAATCTTTGAATTTCAAACCTACATTTTCAATTCCTCCATGTCTGTCTGATATCCTATTTTCATTATCTAAAACTAAATTTTTCAACTTTCTGTATAAATATAAAATTCCTAATTTGTTTCCAGTAATTATTTTTTTTTTTTTTTTTTTTTTTTTTTTAATATGGCAGTACAGAGTGACCCAAGTCAATTTAAATGTATTTATGATCACTTAGAGTCTTCTCATTCAAAATATGTTTTAGTCTTGTTGCCATCCATCCCTCCTCCGTGAGTTAAAATAAAATCAGAGATGAATCAGGGTCATTAAATGAAACCAAGTTTCGTATTATAAAAATCATACATTTAAATACTTCTAGAATCTGTATTTATCCACTACCCAGATATAATGCATAAAATTAAAAATCACCTACTAATATAAAATTTTTATGTCTTTTTAAAGATCTTTTATAACTGCATAAGACAAAAATTCAAGTTTTCTGCTGGTGAAAAATAGATCCATGGATGAGAAATAAGAGAATAATTTGAGATAACAAAAGGTATTCCCAGCACATTCTATTATGAAAGCAGCAATCACATCCTCAATTACATCCCCAATAAAATGAGGAAATTTTGTGGTGCATGTAACTATAATCATTACTGATGAAAATAATTTCTTCAAAAATTATTGTAGTTACCCTTCCACAGACAGGTGCTTTATTCTTGAGCAAACTCAGCAACGATGTAAAGCTTTTTTAGCATCTTTGGGAACTTTTTGTTTCATTTCTATGATGTATGAAGTATATCTGAGGTCCTTTTTAATTTGGGGCCCACCAGCGGCCGAGCGGTAATGTCGCTGAACACTGGTAGTTCGGTCCGAGGTTCGAATCCCGCAAACGGGCTGGCTGCATGGGTGTTTTCGTGGTTTTTCCCATGTGTAACGTGTATACGAGCCAGTTTCCCTTAGAAAGTCCTCCACGAAAGGCATCCCTCCCCTTAGGCAGATAGCCCTAGTGTGCTTTGCCATAATTAAATACACTAACACCAACACCAACCTTTTTAATTTGCATGCTGGTATCACTCACACTCAATCAAAGCTAATCTTTGGAGTAATGTCATTAGGTTCCTTTAAAATTAAGTCCTGGATGCCTTTCAGTATTTCGAGTGTCATTAAGTTTCTTTCTAGGGACTCTCTTCCTTGCTGGATCATAGGAACCTTCCTCAGGTTGCATAGAAACTGAAAACTTTTGAGCTGTCATGTAAACAGCTTCCAGGAACTGAAAGCATAGTAATTTCATATGCATGTGTTTAGTGCAAAAGACTTCTAATAATGGCAAGTCTTTATTTGAAATTCTCACATGTGTGTGCAGATACAGCAGTTTCTTCAGCACAATTGGTTGCCAACACATGTGCACTACCATAGCACCATTTAATGGGAGAAGGTAAAAGTTGAAAATTCTATTTGAAATTATTCCCAATTTAGCTATTATACCTTGTAGTTTTTTTGTTTTTTTTTTTTACCTGTGTTTATCAATTAATTTTTTAGTATGCAGTTTGTTACCCATTTGACATGCTGACATTTTAATAGAAAGCTCTTAAAAAAATACCATAATTACAGACATATTTCCTTCATATTTTTTTTAAGATATAGTTTAGAAACTTGATTAATTTGCATAAACCTTGAAATCCTATCCAATGCCATTGATTGTTCTCCTTACATGGAGGTAAGAAGTGAAAGTAGAGCATGGAAATAATAATAGCATTGAGAATAATAAGTGTAGTTACTTCTCTGGCAAATATATTATAAACTGAAAAATGTGCTAGCTCAAAAACATAGAATTTTGGGGGACCTTCTTATTACTGTCCCCTTCAAAAGCAATATTTTTCGCTTATGTTACTACTGATGTACATATATTTTAAAATATAATTAAAGTTAATTAAATTTTAATCTGGTATTAAGCAGTTAAAGTAATATAAGAAATTTTATGTTTGTTTTTAATCATTCAAGGCTGCTAGTTTGAATAAGCTTTATCATACTGACTAAAATAGATCTGGTAGTCACATACATAAGATGAATGGGCCTACTGAGTCTTCCACAGCTGTTCTATATTTGGGTGTACTGGTGAGTGTAAATCTAAGATCAGCACATATGTCAAGTCAGTATCAGTACCATGTTTTTATTTGTGCTATTAATAAAAAACCATATACATAAAGACAGATGGAATTACAATTTTCAAAGTAACCTTGCATGCACATTAACTAAATTTCAGTTTCACTAGTAATGAGGTGCAGGAATTAGCCATGCCTTCTGCTTGGAATTTCATTTTATGTCTTGTGTCATTCTAGAGTTTAATTCACAGTTCTTTTTCATTCAAAGACAGTTTGTCATTTACAGTTTTGCAGTGGAAGAGATCCTGAACCAATATTGTATGCAACTTGGAAAATAAGTTTAGAATTGTGACCTCGGAATTTTGAAATGTGAACATGTCATTGTATAATTCTTTTCTACTAATGATTTTGTTTTCTGCTAAGAAAGACTAAGACTGAAAAATGGTAAAATTTCGCAGTGTTTTTTAACTAACCCACAAATCATCATTTTTTCTCAAACCCCTTTATTTTCACATGGACATTGAGAACAATAACATTTGAAAGCTTTGTTAGTGTGTTTGGCTACATGTTATCAGCAAGAACTGTTGTTAAATCTTTGTTAATTTTGTTTATAAATGACAGACTTCCTCTCTTAATTTAAAGGAATTTTTGAGTATTTTATTCTGTGAAAACCAATGAACTTAAGTATGAAGAAAATCCTGTGTGCACTAGTTACCCATGCCATCACAAAGTAATGAAAATATTCTCTTTTTCAGAGGCTTTCCATTAATAAAGTTGGCTGTCTTAATCTTCTGGTTTTGAATTTAAATGATATACTACATTTGACTGCCAACAAAGCTTCCTTATGAAAGATAGAATGGTGTCAAGTAATTATTTAATTCAGGTAACACAGTTCTTAAGTTGCAAAGCCACTATGCTTACATGTAAGTGCATGAGCCAAATCCAAGCTAAAACCTACGCATTTTTTGTCAATCAGTTTCATGCTTTTGCATGTACTCATGATAGACTTTAAGCACTTGTTGTCCAATTGTATGAGTTCTCAGTGTCTTCAAAAATAAAATAGCTTCATGAAGCTTCATGCTTAATAACATAGCTATTGTTAAATTTATATCTGAGATAACAAATCAGCTGGGTCATTTGAAACGCCTGTTGTCACATCAATCTGAAGATTTTCTATTATTTTACTGGTAAATCCATATTCTATGTTATTAGCAATGAGATTGATTTGACATGTAACTATGTAATTTGATACTGGTATTAAACCATAGCTAATTTTTCATTAGACATAATTTAAATTATATTGTTTGTAACTTGAAGTATTACAGTCTCATCCATAGAATGGGCTGTCCCACATTTTGCGATGTGAAGACTTGTGATATTATAGGAAGCTTCTGAGGCCTTTTTAGTTGTAGAATCTTTACTAGAAACAACTTTTATTTTTTATTTAGCTCTTCAGTATATTGCTGGGAAAATTCAACAAGTTTACTTTTTATACTTGCATGCTTAGTTTCCAAGTGCCATGTCACTTTCATGGGTTGCATACACTTGTGTGCAAACACTTTGCAGTATACAGCACACTGAGGGCTTTGGTTCACTGTCATGGCCATATCAAGTAAATCCAAACTCAAAATAACTCATGTATTTACGAAAGTATTTTTTCATTGAACAGGCACAAGTACCACTAAATATTTCTTGAATGGCACACACAAATTCTACACTATTAACGTTGCCTAAATGAAGGGGATCTGCCTGTTTGTTTCTCTTCAGAAATCTGGTTAACAGTCATTTAATTTTCTATGATGCCCAGTGGGTACTGAGACAGTTACTAACATTTATCACATAAGAAGGATTTAAGACATCTATGCTATTTGGACTAGCAGTCAAGTTGGGAATCAGTGATGCATGTCATTTCTTAAAAGTTACTAATGATTGGTTAAAAAATATAGTACCGTAATTTCGCGCGTATAGTCCGCGGACTATCTGTGTTTAAAATGCGAATTTTTGAAGCTGCGGACTATCCACCAGTGCGGATAATACGCTGGTTGTTCACGGTTAAAATCGTTGAAATTTAAAAAACACGCTGTCGTGAACTGCCGATGATCAAATATAAAAAAAGCGCGAGATTTTAAGAAAACATTCGTATGTATCGTATCGATAGTAAACCATAGAGCATAGTGCAGAACGAATGAGTAGTAGCAAGTAGAGCTCCTAAAATCCAGGTTGGCGCATCAAGCGATGCCGAGATATGAGCCAAAGAAAGTCTTGTATGAGCACTCACTTAGCGCAACCAGAGTGTTGTATCCCAGTATCCTTCGCACTGCTTTAGCGCAACTACCGAGAGGGGAAAAAGTAATTGATGCGTCAACTCGGTTTTTAGGAGCCATAGTAGCAAGTACCTGGAGTACGAAAAAATAAATTCGTAATTAAGGTTAAGTTATAATATGAAAAAAAAAAGCGTGATTCGTTTACTTATAGCGTGGTTTGGCAACACCGAGTGAGTGGGGTCGAAGGTCACATTTCATTACCACTTATCACGAATATAGCACGTTGCACAGTATTTTGTTTTCGTATTTTGTCTTTCATCTTCGATAACGTTGATGAAACATCGCCGGAGTTTTACTGCTGAGTTAAACTCAAGGTAGTTGACAAAGATGGAAATAGAGAAGCGGGCCGTTATTGGTTTAATCCTAGTATTCGGTGCACACGGGATTTGGCTACTTTTGGCGACTTTATGATGAGCAGTGAAAACGGGACATATACGATGAGTAGTTAATGGGTCATTCAAGAAAATATATAGTTAAACATAGTATATAGTATATATATTATGTGTGTATATACATATACTATGTGTGTATACTATATATATAGACGTTCTTTGGATAATTTTTGGTGTCGGCGATAATTTTTAAAGTCGCGCCAAGGCTGCATCGTATACTAGGATTTTACCCCGTTATTTTGAAGTGGACGAGAAAGCAGTGAGAAATTGGCGCAAACAAAAGGATGTGTTTAAAAAGCATGGGAATATTGCCGTATTAAAAAAACGTAATTTCGGACGTATAGTCCGCGGACTATCTGACGATTTTTGAAATTTTTTTTTATATAAAATCGTGTCTGCGGACTATACGTGCGAAATTACGGTAATAGGAAAGTATTCTAATTTGAATTGTTGGACCTGATTTGCCCAGATTTTAAAACAGGTGGAGCTAAAATTTCTTCCATTGCCATATGGAAAAACATAAGATTAAACAAAGTATTGCAGAAATGCCATATTTTCAACAGGTAACTGTGTAGTTTATTAGTGTACATGGCATTCCATTGCATCTCTGAAGCTTTTCAGAAAGTTGTAAATATGTGGAAAGAAGATTCTGTACTTCTATGAATTGTGAGAAACTGGGATAGTTTCTGTTTGGATTACATGTGCACTAAAAGAATGGCAAAAAGCACTGCAGTTCTAGTGCTTGAAATCCCTCTTTTGTTAACACTAAAGTAAGAAGTGTGTAAGTAAAGTTGTCGGGATGCTGTTGATCTGAAAACTGAAGTTAAACCCTGCAGATCCTACTAGACAAATTAGTGAGTTATCCCTATGTCTTACAAATTCAAAAATACAGGAGATGTAAAATAACCTTTTCATTTAGTCTGAACTGAGCATAAGGCATGACTTGTGTGACAGATGAAAACACCGTTTGTGGCAGTTCAAATTAGGCAATAACAAACAATTAAATTAAAATGTAGATAATGTAATCTAAGACTATACATTCAATAAAAGAAGCTAAATGCTTCAGTTATTTTAACGGCACATAATTTTAAAGTATTGGCTAGCAAAAGAATGACAAAGGCAGAATATTACTATTAAATAGAGCTGGTGAAGAATTCTAACAGTTTGAAGTGATTACCTGAAACTCTTTCTCTCTCACTGTGTGTAAGCTTCACAACACTCAACTTAAATGCTCTCAAAGCTAATTGACAGTCTTCTGAGAAATTGGGAAAGACTTTATAGTAAAAATCAAAATCATAATAATTTGTTAAGTAATGCAAGATATGCTACAAAGTAAGCAATAAAAATTTCATGAAATGTCAGCCTTTGAAGAAAAGTGATTGGCAATTACTATAGTACCCGTAGTACCATAGTAATTTTCAGCTGTCATGAGGTATATGTAGTTAATTTATTTTTTGTTTTTTGGGAGTATTGGAGGATTACAGATTGAGAAATGCTGTGCTAGGTTATTCCTCCAAATCTATCTCAAGAAATAATATAGGCTGTGTAATTTTTGTAAAGCACGAGGAGCATGAATATTTTCTCATATGATTTCTTAATGGGTAAAGAAATTTATTGTCACTAAGTGTCACTATTGTGTGCCATATTTTTCAAATTTCTTTGATAATTTAGAGGAATAGTCAAAGTATAATAATTAATGATTAAACCTTTCAAAATGCTATATTAATCTGAATTAAACAACAGCTTTTTCACTCTAAAAATATTGTTATATTCAGTATTTTGATTTTTTCCCCCATCTCTTTTACAAAGGTCTGCAATATATGCTAACAGGCATTATTTAGAGCTTTATCATGAAACTCATCCAAACTGGTTGGCTCAAAATAGTGATGGGAAACCTACTATAGTTGGGGATGTTTTTATTCATCCAACTGCAAATGTTCATCCATCTGCTACTGTATGTATTTTCTGTGTATTATAATATAAGTATTAATTTAAAAAATCATTTGATTTTGTAAAATTTTATGTTTTCCCCTTCCCTTCATGTGTCTGACATTATAAATAAAATTAGTATGTAATAAACCAATTTGGGCAGTTTTCTGAATTTTTAAACTAGCCATTTGCATTTTAGAGATAATGCTGAGAACATTGAAATACATGCATTAAATGGTGACTGACAGTCGCCTCTGCCTTGTAAAAGGTTAATTTCACAGTGTATATTGGTCTCTATGTATGTGATTGCAAATGCTTATGAGACCTTTGTTACTGAAATTCGTTTCATGTACAATTAATATTTCTGTGTGAAGTTCCATATTTTCTGAACTGTAATGAATTTTCATTCAGAATAAGGAACGTAAATTGTATGATTTTAGAAGTGTTATTTAGCTTACATATAGCAAAATCATGAGGGACTGCTTTGATGAATTTAAAGATAATTTTCTTGTAATTAAATCATATTCATAAAAGTAGTGTATGAGCAAACTTTTACAAATTTGTCATAATTTTTACCAAAACTGCTCTAGTTTTATGATCTCATGCATGAAATTAATTTTATGAACTTTTTTTAGAAAAGACAAAAATTATGCCAGTCTCACAATTTGTTGCTTAATCTTTATTTTTATCATATGTTCTTGATACATATTTTTTATTTGAAATTTTTCTCGTAATGTAATAAAATTCCAGCTATAGACACACTTGAGGACTAAGGATATGTAGATTAGTGAATTTTTCATGTATTTCTGAGTTTGGTAATATTTTCCCCTTTTTATTTTAATATTGTGGATGTTTTGTACATAAACAACTAGCTAAAACATAGTCATGTCATAGGCACTATTTAATTAATTTAATGAATATGAAATTATATTATATTTTTTAATATAATTATATTAAAAAAAAATGTCAGTACAAGGAAATATCACAGTTGAGAGAAGAGGGTAAAGAATAAGGAATTTCTTTTAGAAGCTGAGGGATTGATTCATTTGCAAAAATTCATTTTTTCTTCTTCGTAGAAAAGCTTTGTGTACCACTAGATGTTTCTTTAATGACACTATTAATCACACACAGATTCTGCATTGTTTGCATGGCCTAAATCAAAGTTATCATATCATGTTTCTTTCTTTTCAGAAGTCTGGTTCAAAGCAGTTTTACATTGTGTACAGTGGGCATTATATTACAGAGACAACTACTTATGTCTCGCATTAGAAGGATTTCAAACATTACACAATTATTGGATTTACAGACTAGCAATGAATCAGTAATGTTTCTAAATTCTTATAAGTGATTCCTTATGTTCCACAAAAAATAGAAATATGAAAGTATTCTAATTTGTATTTCTGAATCTGATTTGCTAGGGTTCTGAAACAAGAGGAATCTAAAATTTCTCCCGTTATCTGGGGAAACAAAAATAAAAATAATTAATGAAGAAACAAGGCCGATTTGCAGCAAATAATGGGCAACTTATTGGTGTATGTCACATTCAATGTGTCTCGAAAGCTATTATGAAAATTATAAACTTGTGAAAAGTTTTAATACTTCATTGCATTGTGATGAACTGGGATGGTTTCTTGCTGGGTTACAGGTGCATCACCAGATGTGCAGCAAAAGCAATGCGAGAAACATCACTGTCATATTGTTTGAAACGTGCTAATATTAGAGTGGGACATCTGTAGATACAATAACTAGTAATTAATTTCATAAAATATCAATCTTAATAAATTTAAAACAGGACCTGAAAGAAAAATTGACAGATGATTCCCATGTGTAATTTACATAGTCTGAGCTCTTCAACTACAGTGTGATATACAGAGTTAATTTGAGTTTCATCTTTTTGAAAATCCAAGAGGACGACATGGGCAGGTTTTGAGGCTACAAATTAACCCGCGAGCACACGCACCGATCCGACGAACACGAGAACACGCGCCGAGTATGTCATACCCGAATAAAAAAATTGTAAATAAAAATTTGCCGGAAAAAAATTAATCGGTTTTTTTAAAAGAAATTAAAATGTAAAACCAAGTTAATACTTCATTTTTAGACAAAATAGGAAACAATAAGGTGAGGAAAATTATTTTACTTACAATTTTTTGAACATTGTTTTACAAAATGAGGTTTATATGTTTGCATACATATACTTTTGCTACAATTTTCACAAATGAATCTAGTCTTTCTGTCTTTTTTCTTGGAGCACTCTGTACACCTCTTGTAAGTCATTTGAGGTTTTTTGGAGGGCGGTCCATTGTTAACATGTTCATCGGTGGTCAGTGTTCGTCCAGAATCAAGAACCACAGATACTCTTCCCGTTCACGTGTGAAATTTTCTCGTATTGAATAAATATAAATATTTGTATTGTCAACTACATGTTTTAACATATCTTCATCGATAAGCAATGACAAGGACTCTAAAGGTGTTGAGACGTATTTAGAATACTTTGTATTTCCAGAGAGTATAGTTATAATATTTTGGTGCCAATTCTAACATTAGTCTGGAATTTATTTTTGTTCCATTTTTTCCCAACATAGAACTCATTGCTACATTCCAGAGTTTCATTTTCTGTTTCTGTTTCTGTATCTGAATCACTACTCTATATGGATGAATCATGATTACTAATTATATTCTTCGTCATCAACATCTTCCTCTTCTTCACTAAATGAATCCTCATCAGAAGAAACTGTTTCAAGGAGATTTCTCAATCTTTTCATCTCTTCATCGTAAGGAATATACGGCGCCATGCTTACAACTCAGAAAAAAAACTTATACTAAAAGCTTGAAAACGAGAAGGGCGAAGTGACTCACTGAGAAACGCCAGTACACAACACGCGCGGGTATGACATGCCCCGAACAATGCTGGTCCTAAAAAAAAAAAACCGTTGCACTTGCCACCTCAGGAATTTTCCCCCATTTTAAGTAGTGACTTGAACTTTGAACTCAGCTACACTAAGTTTCGTCCTTTTATGAAAGAATGGGCGAGAAATATACAAAAAGAAAAATGTACATGGGTATGACATACCCGCCGCGTGTGCTCGCGGGTTAAGAAATGCAAAATGTGATGGGTTACATCACATTTTGCTTATGTATTATTGGATTAATAAACTGTTAAAAGTACTAAGTATGAAATTTTGTATTCATCAAAAGGAAATCTCTTCTTCCTGTATTCATATCCGAATGAAAAAAAAATTGGAGTGGAAAAGATAAATAAAAGAGCTACTTCCTCCCTGTGATTGTTCAAATGACTTCTAGTGGCAAAGCAAAGAAGCCATGGCAGAAATGTAAATAAGCCTACTGCAAGGTGCATTTATAATGGAAAATCTAAAATGAGCATCTGAACATTGTATAACATTTGAAAAGTTGTTCATAAAGAATTTCTTGAAAACTATTTTTAAAAGATAGTTTAATGCAGAGTGTAATGTAGGAACTTGTTTAAAGTGAAACATTTACAAATTCATAATCCATGATTTCTATAAAAGGAAAGTGCTAATGCATATGTAAATATCGTTAAGTGACTTAAATAATGTGATAAATTTTTCTACAGTTAAAATATGATGCTGTGTATTTATATAAAACATTGTTTACTTATGTCGTCCAAATGGAAAACCATAAAAGCATGCAGTGCAGTTGAAATTTGCTCCATACGTAGACCTTGCTGGGTATGCAAGTGATTAATATTGAAGTGTGTATGCAAATTATGTGTGAGTAATACTCCCTAAAAGGAGTAGATATGTCAGTAACATCACATAGAATATTAAGCTCTTTTAAATGCTAGAATATATTTTGCTACTGCTTCTTTGCAAGGGAAAGTTCAGTGTGCCTTTTGAGGTGGGGGAAAAAAGCAGTCATTCAAGGAAGTTTATGAGTTGACATAGAAAAAGAATTGTGGCTTATAAGACTCCAAATTATTCTTCTGAGAAAGCAGTGTATGTGTTAACATTTTTAGTTAAATTCTTAACTTATTTATATATAGAGAGAAAGAAATCAGTGTTTAACACTTTTAGTTAAATGCTTAATTAATTATATATATGTTTAAATTATCTAAAACAAACTTTTAAAAGTTGACAGAACTTTGTTGAAGGATCTGTGTTTATTAAAGAGAATTTTAATTGCTTTGCTATTTTTGTCTCTTTGTATGCTTTTTAAGACAAGATTTTGAACTTTAAAATCTTCATTTCTCCTGCCGTCCTCTAAATTAATTTTGTCCAACTCTAATTCCATTTCTACCAAATCTGCTTCATTTACCTCCTTAGACCTGTAATTCTTAATTATCTCTTGATTCATGTCATCAAAACCTTCCTTCATACAGACTTTGCGTATTCTACAATCACCTAGGTTTTGTTGTAGTTTTTAATTAAATAATGGAATTGAATTCAGTCTAACCAGAGGTATGGTATGCATCTAGGAAATTATTTGGGTTTTTAGCTTTTCTCTGACATATGTTCTACGGTTATTTAGATGAAAAATCACAAAAAGTTTATGTGTGTAAGCATGCACTTGTGCTTTTTGTGCATGTGTGTGTATATGCATGTGCACCTATGTATTAAGGTAGACTATTAATTCTGGTTGGCTTTACATGCCAATTGCTTATAAAGAACTGCCTCACTCTTATTAGTTTTGATGCACAGTACATTTATTATTTTCTTCATGGATTTGTGGGATTCTCCAAATAACAAAATAGAAGCTATCACTTTTTTTAAAGTCATGGCATATTTCAAAAAATTTGAGTATGTTCTAATTCTTATGCAGTAAAATTTATACACAATAAAGAAAACATGTTGTGGAAATAAAACCACACTGTAAGAATGCAAGTAGAAAATTAGTGTGAAGGGAACTGGATCTTGATTTTAATTTATTTACTGTTCTTACAAGGAATTAGCATTAGTTAGATTGTTCCAAAAACAAACTCTATATGGCAGGTAATATTGGGAAAATGAAGTTATTTTTTAGAATTTTTCTCCAGTAGATTGAGAA